CGCAATTAAAAAAATGAATATAGCTAATTAACTTACAACCGGAGAATTTATACTTTGATGATTTTATTGCAGAGCAATGGTTTTTCAAACCTACAATTTATGTTGTTATTTCGATTTCACGCTTTCCACATATAATAAAATAGGATTCAGCTTCATATCTACCTTTTACACTTTTTTCATCTTCATGATTTAATTTACATACTGGGCATAATGATCCCTCAATAATATCATAGTAATCGAATTTTTCAGTAATAAATATTTTATATAGATTAGAATATCTGCACAATATCTTATTACGAAAGTAAGCATGGTCATAGGTTGAATTATTCTGTTTTTCAGGTAACGTCTTTGTTTCAGTTTGAGACGTGAATGGCGCACTTACCTCAGCTTTTGGCAAATTATCCGGACCTGAAGAATTAGAGATATAAGACGAAGGGATAGATTCACTTACTTCTGAATTAGTCTGATCGTGACATTTTGTCACGGTTTTTGAAGTCACCTGATTTATGATATGTTGAATTTGAGTATCTTTCAATCCCGAAATGGTACTTGCGCTATATGTAATGTATTTGATTTTATCTACACCTACTCCTCCTTTTCCGAATAGTTTAAGAATTTTTCGAGCTCTTTCAGTTTTCTTACGCAAATTTACATCGGTAATATTAGGCAGAAAAGGTTTCAGCTCCTTATATATTTTTGATCTTGCTGTTTTATCTTTAATCTCGCCATCTGCTGTAAGACTTTTAACCTTATTTTCGAATTCTAGAGAATAATAATACCAACATAAAATTTGTTTCTGGCCTGATTTAATTGCTTTATCAAATAAGTCTGATAAACTTTGTACAGAGTCCGGAACTATAACCTGTATACCACTAACATTTACCTCACCATTGTTTCCGTTAATTGAAGATAAGGGATTGATTTCGGAGACAATACTTTGTTCGTGATCGCGATCACAAGTTATCTCTTGTATTAAGCCTTCTACTATTTGATTGTCTGATTCAAGTACTTCGGAGATAGTATCAGAATTGTCAAGGATATGATTTTGATCGTGACATTTTGTCACGGTTTTTGCATCACATGGTGGGGGTGAAGCAGTTTGATTAACTAAAGGTAAGTCTTGATCCTGAGAAGCGGAAGCTTCATTACTATGTAATAGCTTTTTTTCCTTATTCCTCTGTCTTATCTCATTACTGACACATTTCCTATTTTCTGAATCTAAAAAGTCATCAACTTCTTCATCCTCTAATGATTTGGATTCGCCAGAGCAAGTTTCATTAAAGTTAGATGTATCGGAAATTGTATTGACTATCTGTTCTGAAATGCTTGGAGTTACAAAGTCAATGCTAGTCATGGATTGGTCTGCCGCGTGATGAGTCGAAGAATATGTAACTTGTGCATTTTCCCTATTGTTGGGCAATGGAGTGGAATGTAACGGAGACTTTAAATCATTAATAGCAGTTCGATTATGCTTTTCGATATTTTTAACAGCTCGTTTTAATTCTTCGATTTCAGCCTTGAGCTTAGTATTTTCTGTCTGACTTGACTTTGTGGTCTGTTCTAGTTCCATAATTCTAATCTCAAGCTTATTTTTTTCTTTCGCGATCTGTTCCAATTCCGCGATTCTAGCCATAAGTTTTGCATTCTCTTGTTTCAATAAATCTAGTTCGGATTTAGTGTTTCCCATTGTTTTATACAAGATGTATATATGTTCAAAAGGTTGTTTATATAAATACCGTACGATCGGAATTATTTCATAAGTGCGAATTTTGCCAGAAGTGAAATCGACATTCTCATATTTTCATTTTTCATCATTCAAAAATTCTGTGATCAAAAACAGTTTATAACAAAGCAAACGAATTCGTTAAAACTCGTCATAATTGATACATTCTTTCGCCGATACAATTAATGTAGAACATTTTTCGATGATCAAATCAAATATCATGTGTCATAAATCGTGACTTTTTTAAACGCGTATCGTTTCACATAATATACATCTGGTATTTATACCAAAATTTATTATACCATCCCTAATTCCGCATCTAAATTGATATTATGAATCTTCAGTCTGATTGCCTTGATGTTCTAAAATATCCCAGTAAGGAACACCGTCTATGCACTTTTTTATGCTAATTTTTACTAGATTAACGCCGTTCTTTGAATGTAGCTTTTTGGAAGGATACTGTCAAACCTTCACTCAGAGACTTTTTGAGCTTCCGGTATCTGGAAGGTGATTTGACTGATCCGACAACAGAGCACCTTCGGTATAAAGCAGAGCTGGACACCATAAGTGACTATTATGATGAGACTTCTGAAGTTGGAAAGATGATACAAAATTGTATACAAGGTTTTTCGGTAAATGTATTTGATCATTTCAAAATATGGCTTTTGCAGATTCAACGGACCACTTTGCATATTTGCACGAGCTATCTTATGGATTGCGTATTCATAAGGAATGATTGCGTATTGCTCGTTGTGGTTTTTGATTGTCCATCATAGCAGAGGACTTTAATTGTGTATATTACACATAATCACACAGACTAGCTTGGGGATTGCGTATTGCCAAGGAATGACTGCGTGTTGTCTGTGGTTGTTTCTGTAAATATTGTACAATATTTCCTATGAATATGCTTGATTAATTAATTTAACATTCTTATAATAGAAAGAAAAATGCAGTAGATCAATAAAATTCTTTTGGGAATTACGAGACATTTGTAATGAATCAGAGTTAGTTGACGAGAAGTCAAAATTGCAATGGGTAAGTTATCTTCACAAAATCATCTATAGAGTATACTTTTGCTAAAGCTTGATCTTCGATTTTTATTTTAGAAAGAAGGGATATTTGAATTTGAAAAAACGGGACTATGCCATCTCCGAGAGACCTCATCTGCCGTGCAAGAAAAACAAATTTCAAGTTATACATCCTACGAGAAGTCTGAAGCACAAACAAATAACGTGAGTCTCAAGAACACGACCCATTGACTTTAAGGTTGATCATAATGAACTTGTTATTTTCTTTTATGACTAGGTGTATGACAGAGCTGAAATCTGCACACCAAAGCGAGCCATTACGCTAAAAAATAAAGAGAACGAAAATTTATGTTATGATACTTCACCAAAGTATATATGCAAAAAACCATTACCAAACCCTTTTTTGGTGAATAAACAAGGGAAAAAACGTGGTTTTGAAGCCGAGGAAGATGACGATGATGGTGACGAAGAATTTGATGCAAATCTAACGGTTGTTGGTGGAAAAAGTGCTGAATGGATCGTAAATAGTATTCGAATCAGAGAACGTCTCAAAGAATACCAGTTGGAGAAGAATCCGCCTAAAACGAGTCCGGAATATTATGATGTTATATTTTTCAATTCTAATAAAGATGGGTTTTTAAAGACATTGGATGAAAGTATCTTAACACAAATGCTCAGCGATATAAGTGAGAAAGAAATTGAAAATACTGTGGAAAATGAAATCAAATTGCTGTTAGATCATGTCATTGATCGTGATATTAAAAAAACAAAGGAAAAACTCAAACAAGTAAAGGAAGAAGACATCGCTTTATTTGAAAATAAATTCGCGTTGAATTTCGTGAGGCATATGTGAGTTTATTTTTCTTAATCTTCATTGAGAAATGTGGTTGTGACTAATGAGATTAATTATATTTATAGGATGAGACTAATGGAAGATATCAATTTATTACTCGACCCAATGTCGGAAGGCACATATATTAATAGTGTCCTAGCGCCCATTTTCGATGAATTTTTTGTCAAAAATAAAAGACAATGGCGTGCATCTTATGGCGAAACTTGTCTTAAAGCGAGTGCAAGAGACAAAAATTCGCAAAAAGAAGATTCTGAACGCCGGTCCACCGGAAAGAAAATTGACACTATCATTGAATTGCGAGAAGAGAACGAAGAGTTTTCTGTCATTGAAATTAGTGGACCGCCGATGAAAAATAATTGGCCCCACTATAAAGGTGATCGATTGAAGATTGCTAAAATGTTAAAAACAATAATAAACCATTATGCGGAACTAAACCCGACTTCTGATATTACATTGGTCAAGCTATACGGATTGCAAGCGTATTGTAAGTTTTGATTACCAACACTTTTACTCATTATTGTTATTATTATGCATTACTAACTCTTGGAACGTACAGTAAATGAGATTACTATCTATGAATTTCGACTTAAATTCGCTGAGATTTATACTATGAGACCAATATTAAAATTTTCCCTTCCAAAAACGTGGGCAGATATGGCAAGGGCCACCAAATCTATAATGGGTTTTTTGAAGTATGAGGTTTGTATAGATTATTTTTAACAGCTGGTTTCACTCCAATAGATCTCAGTATATAAAAAAAGATAAGATATAAAAACATAAAATTAACATTTTCGAATTTTGTAAATTAGTCATTGTTAGTTGAAAGCGCAAAATCAATTCAAGATTTTTTATGGAATGAAGGTGGTGAAATTGAATCATTTAAGAAAATGACAACACGTATGATTCTTACCCCTATAAAAGACACTGAAGAAACCGAAAACAAGAAAAATACAAAAACAAGGAAAAAGAAACGAGTTGTTTCATAATTAAAATGTGGTTATTTTATAATGTTTAACACAAGAAATAGATGTATTGGTCGTGTAAAAATTGATTGCGTCAAATCCAGAAATGACGCCATAAGCTATTTTAATTTTTGTGGGGAACTTACATAAGCGATACAGAGTAAAAATAAAGCGTGATACAATGAATTATGTGTATATAAAACCGTGACAAAATGTCACGATCGAAAGCGTAAACAAAAAATTCTCAATTGTGACACTCATATTAACTGGCATATTACACCGACAGTGAGCAAACGAATTGGCAGGATTTTCAATGCCGAAAAACTAAATGATGATGCATGTCACGAATTAATAAAAAGCTATTCCAGTATAAACATTTACCAGAACGTGAGGCTCAGAAAAGGAAATATTGAAGTTAGAGATCAACTCAAAAAGATTTTCAAACCTACAATCTGAAAGAAAACAGAAAGAGCACGAAATAGAATAATGTTCAGCGAATTTTATTCATCCAATGAATAAAAACATTTACGGCAACATCAATCTCAATGTTAAGTACGGATATGTAGCCTGTCCGCTTTATTGATACAAATAAAATATAGGTACATAGATGCGTGATACATGATAAAACAATAAAATACAGAAAAAAACTCTATCATTTGTTATTATTTTGAATACGACGTTTTTTAATTTCATGTTCATCACACATTGTAATCCTATCCCTTAATAACCCCACAACTAAACCAATTACTATTTTAACACCCTTCCTGATTGATTCAAGATCCTCCTTCAATGCCGTTTTGGATAGATTAATCCGATATTCGCTTTTGCTGGTACAATATAGCCCTTCCGTAGCGAGTTTAATAAAATGCCATTCTGTAGCTA